ATTTTTGCAAAAAAACAACAGAAGATTTTGGATATACAAAATCGTAAACTTAGATTACTCACTTGTTTGTCCATGATGTAGTAGCGTTTATTGTCTACAAAAAGTCCTAAACAACCTTTACAATAAAAAAAAACTCGTGCTGAGTCACTAAAGTCCAGCGCATCCTAGAAGGTGTACTTGAATAGATCATTTTTTATATTAGTTTTAACCAATATCTTTATTTATATACTTGTTTTAGGGAAATCAATGCTTGCAATGCATGCAATAATCTTTTATATGTTAAGCACCGAATTGTCAAATATAGAAGTACAACGGGAAAAGCTGTCGATTTTTTTTTTTTTTTATCAAATTTCTTCCTTAATCTTTAAATTGGTCTATCTGCATTGATGTGCATATGTATTTTTGTATATATATATATATCTATAAATAACGACCAAAACCTGTCAAAAAGCATAAAATTATTTTGAAATCGAACCGATGATACCGAATTAAGGGGTGTCACAGTTGCTAAAAGGCAGAAACGGAATACGGAACGGAATTCGGAACGGAAAACGGAAACAGAAAGAATTTACATCTTTTCATTTGAGTTTTTATTTTCATAGGCTTGTTGTATATAGCATATCACATGTTTACAAGAAAGAAAAGCAGAGGAATAAAGGAGTAGGGGCAATAAGGCCATTGGCCTAAATATAAGTGCAAATTGAAAAGTCACCATACATATTTTTAAATTTGTCCAAACTACACTAAGATACAAGGTGTTCAGAAAATAAAAACAAATTTCACATTTAAGTAGTGACTATGGCAACAAACCATGACAATATTTGTGTATTTTGTAAAATTTCTTGATTTCCCTTGTTTTACGTCAAATTTTAAGTATACATTAGATTGGAAAAGTATGTGCGCTTGCAAGAGACAACATTATCTTTGGCTAGAATATGTCAATATTTATAATAAAGCGTCTCTAAAATTATATTGTTGTTTCTTGAAAAAGATTTGAAAGCATAAAGTATTGAAATAAATGGCAGGAGATTATGAGCCTATGTTTAAGAATATTTAATAAGGGCATGCATATTGTACGTAATTTAATTGCATAAACCACTTGCAATTGTTCCATTAGTTCATTTATTTTACATTCTACTCTTCTTGCACTTGAGACAATGAACGTACGTCGTTCATGCGATTAACTATAGTCTGTTTTACTTTTCTGATTTTCAAAAAAAAGAAAGAAATATAAATATAAGATAATAAAAAGAGATGTGGTATAAATGTAAATAAGACAGAAACCCAACAACACAAACAAAATCTACATACGGCCTAAAAAGATGGATGTTCGCCTCGATTCTAGAAAGGTTGGGGATTAATTTGTTTTTTTGGTCAGTGAAATGCTTTTCATAATTTTTTTCTTCCTTTCTTTTTAAATTGCTTTGAATTAGGGTTTGTGATTTTTCTTTCTTTCTTTTTAAATTTCTTTGAATTAGGCTTAGTGATGTGCTGTATTTTGTTGTGTTGTTCTGCATTGGTGAATTTCCTGCTATCTTTTCTTGTATAATGAAAAAAAAACGTAAGAGAAACACGATGGGAAAAACTGATATAGAAACCTGGGACCTCGACATGGAATCTTGGATAAACTTTACTTTTATGTAAAACTTTACAAAATCACTCACTTTTCAAAGCCATTCTCACCCGATACTCGCGGAAAGAACAGTACACGGATAAGCAATTTGCACAATGCCCTTTTCATGCTAGCCGTAGTCTTGTCCTAGGATTTCTAAAAATCAATTTGTCCACAGTGCTTTGCATATCATGCCGTTTAATTCTTCTCTGAAAATTCAATCTTCTTAAAGTATAGCCGTGAACGTTACTCTATAATAGTACAATTGAAAATATTGTCACTCATTCAGTATAATGTTTTAAGCATTACTATAATTGAAAACATTAACAAAGATATGTATTCATATTCGTTCATACGTATACTAAAGGAATGTTGAAATTTGAAAGTTACTCTTATTAATATTAGTAGATTTCAGGACACTGCCTCGTCAAGATAACTGAAAAATCATTATTGATCATTATTCTCTATTCTTTTTTTTTATATATATTGAAGATGCACATAAACCTAGATGAGCGACACATGCTCTTAAAAGCCTCTATGTATCTTTTATAGCTGTTATGTATTTCCAAAACTGTTTGCTTTTTTCATTTATATCTCCTATCCTGTTTTCAACATACTTGTTGTGTTATTTCGTTAGTTCAGTCTTTATTGATTTTTGAAGTTATCGCCATTTTTTTCTCAAATTCCGTCCACAGAAAATATTTCTTTCCGTTTCCGTTCCGTATTCCGTTTCCACCGTCTAGCAACACCCCGAATGAAGATGCTTTAAAAGTCAATGGCGGAAAGAAGATTTTTCTTGACAATAAAATGGCAAAGAAAAAAGTCATGACGTCACTTTAAAAAAATCTGACATTACACATGACGTTTTCTCTTCATTCTAACGTAAGATTATCCATATTGCACCTATTTTGACAGGTTTTTTTTTTCATCTAGGGTTATTTATGATCCAGACTGCAAAAGTTACCATTCTGTGTTTATTTTGTAGATTTATCCTTATTTACTATATTAAAAGTTCCACTAATTTAATTTTGAATTCATATTGAATCATATAAAAATGGGTTTGAACCGACCTCCAAACAATCCATGATTCTTTAATGAGGAGTACCCAAATTGCATATATATCAATGCTTACATTCACATCCGTAAAAATTTTATAACTGATGTTTTGTTTTATTTCTTCAAATATTTAGAACAATTTGACAAAAGTCCATGCTTACTATTCATTTTTTTAAGAAATGGATGCCTGTAACATATTTAAATTGCTCATTTTTAAAGGTTGACTTATTGTAGACGTCGCATGGTTAGATTATACTTTTTTTCGGTGATTTCATCTGTTGATGTATATACTGTAAACGTTTTGTGTATATTTAAATAATTTAGCTATGTGGAAAGACGTGCATAATATCAAATTTTAAAAATACCAATTGTTTAGAGTGTAAGAAAACTTGTAAGATTTCCGCTGCTATTTTTGCTAAATGAGTGCAATATGTGGGTACTCGGTGCAATTTAGGTACTGTGACGTATAGTATGCATTGAGATGAACAACATATTATGGAGGGGCCTGATGGGGGGTCTCATCACGATTCACGAGTTGATTTTTTTGTCAATCACGATTCACAGAAAATAAATTTCCATGATCACGGATCACGAAAATATAAAAAAAAAATCTGTAGAAAAACGGATCACGATAGCGAAAATGCGCCGATCAAGAGAACGAAAATAACCCATCAGGCCCCTCATACACCTTATCGCTATTTGTCCGCCATTACTGGACATCACAAAAGTTCCCGTAAAATTTTGACGTCATAATAGAAAATATCTGACGCCACAATGGAAAAGTGATTGTTGTATGACGTCAAAAGTTCAAGCGGGACAGATTCTCGGGTCAAGCGGGAATAGCGATAAAGTTTATTATGCGGCTTGGAATGTTGTCGGGTCAAGAGGCTTTGTTTGGATTGGTGTTTTTCAGGAGTTTATCCAGTCCCTTTTGGTCAATCGTTATTGGTGTTATATTTTTTGGTCTTATTCTTGTTGTTGGTAAGTTATCGTTTCTGTGTAAACATAATCATGTGTACCATACAAAATCATTTGTTTCCGGAATCAAATTCACGAGTTTTCCGTTTTTAACTCTAAAGATGACGTCAATCGTAAACACTGGCGTAGAAGACAAAATTATACAAGTTTGGTTTTTTTTTGGATCATGTTATTTTTTTCGTCCCCGTTTACCAACAGTAATTTCGTGGTGTTTATGAAATGACTTGCAAATCCAAAGTAGCCTTTGTTAGACATGTTTCCAGGTATTTATTCGTGATAATATTTGCATCGTTATCGTCCATAGCCTAGGGTCTTTTCTTACATACTTACATTATACATTGCAAAACTTGATAAATCACACCTATATTCATGCAGCTAAGTTGTCAGCGGTCAGCTTCTATTTTGACAACAAAAAAACACGAAATACACGCGCTATCACCCGATCAAAAAACAAGAATGGAGGAAATGGGTACATGGGCCATGGCTATGGGCGCTCAACTCTTTACACATTATCGATACTTGAAAATTGCTTAACCTGTATGTGGTTAAAAGTAAGATGACACGACCAAGATCGGGGCGGTAATGCATCAGATTAAGGTTTTTAAAAGCTTCTGTTTGAAAACATTTATATGATGAATCCTACCATCATAAAAAAATAATAATTAACAAATGTTCAGTGCGTTTTTGAAAACAAAGAAGGCTGTTTGTGTAATCACAACAGTATGCTTCAGTCGCGAGCTCAGAAATTTTTTTCGGGGATTTTCCTCCTGGATAAGCGGAAATCCACCTTCATTTCCGTCAATTTTACATGATAAAAATACTAAGAAAGGGATGCTTCGAAACCCTGGACCCCTCTCCTTTCTCTGGATCAGCCATTGGCGTTACTTGTGTATCGTGTATTATAAGACACGAGGGAAAAAACTCCGAGCTGATGCCATTAGATGCAGGTACCGTAATGGTATTTGTACATGGATGACTCTCTTAATATCTGCAATGGCGAAACAGGCCCTACATTCTAGTTGCATTCGTCTTACAGGTTCTTGGTTTGTATTTGGGTTTCAGACTCATTAACATGTACGCAACATCTGCTTTATTTATATTCTAGCATATAATTAGAGATACGTCCATGTTATAGTTCAGGAGCCTCAATAATTCTTTGGATGCTTTGGAAAATATTTTCTATGATCAAGAATAGATTATACTTCCAATAGAAACTTTTGTACACGATAATCAACAACTGCCGTAACATTTGAAATTATGACTTATGAAAACTAATTGTGCACATGATTGTTGTATAAATATTTTACGTTTTCTGAGTGAACTTAAACACTCCATTTTTTTCTTTTACAGGACCAAAATGAAACTCCTGTGTATAACCACTTTGCTTCTGGTATCTCAAGTCACAACACAGAACACACGATATGACGGGTAATCAAAAATTATTTTATACAATGGTTTGGATTTTAAAAGCGTGATACATGTAAATTTTACGATTATTTCTTGTATTTAGAGATTACAGCAGTAAGTATACGCAGACGACAATGAGATCAATATATAAGTCTTCCATCATAAGAATATGTATAGTGACTGCTCTTTTTTATGCCCCATTTATGGGCATTAAATATGTTTTTCGGTCTGTGCATCCGTTCGTCCGTTCGTTCGTCCGTCCCCAATTTCACGGTCCACTGAACATAGAAAATGATAGTGCGAGTGGGGCATCCGTGTGCTATGGACACATTCTTGTTTTTTAATCATTTAGGCATGTTCTAAGATTTGTCTTTATTACTTTTTATCCATGTTTTAATTCATTTTAATATAAATAAGAAGATGTTGTATGAATGCCAATGAGACACCTCTCCATTTAATTCATTTGTTTATTTGAAAGTAAAAAGACATTATCTAAGTATATACTGATTATTTTGAACAATCTTTATTATGTACGCTCGAGGCCATAAGTTTGAGAGCCAAATCCTTCTTATGTCAAACTTGTTTAAGGTTGCAATCTGAATTTAGTAAAATTACAAAAAAATATAAGCAGAAAATGAACAATCAAAATTTATCATGTAAATCATCTCAACACCGAACCGCTGGCATTCTGGACGGATGTTCTCTTGATTCATCCATGTTTTAGAAATCTTATTAAAAATCAAGTATTCAGATATGTCAAAAATGAGCATTAGCTTCTTGCCTAGAAAAGTATGACATGTTAAGAAAGAAAGTATCTATATCTAATTGTGTTAGATTTCTGTGAAGTATTTGACATATATTATTCAACTAGCTAAACGCCTTCCAATCACGATTTCTTCTTTTCACGTTTAACAGTGCACAGTTATGGTACGGCCATTTTGTTTTAGGATACAGGGTTTTTTTCGCGAATGGAATATTCTTTTTCACCTGTTGCTAGGTCGATTTCTTTATTTTCCATTTTATACAAAACTATTTCCAGCATTTTGTCGGGCAGAATATTCATTTCCATCCTGTCTTGGGCAAGATTTTTTTTCAGTTCTTACAATGCAAGGATATTCATTTGAAAGATCTTCTCACCTACCCTGTCATCGCATTACAAGATAATCACAACACCTCCTGCAGTGGCGTATCCAGAGGGGGGTCCGGGGGTTGGAACCCCCCTTTTTTGGACGATCAATGCATTTGAATGGGGACATATAGTTGGAACCCCCCTTTATACTGGGTTGGGACACCTCCCCCCTTTAAAAATGGCTGGATCCGCCCCTGTGACCTGTGTTCAATTAAATTGTTAGAAATGAAAATTTTAGAAAAATATTATTTGATTTTGTGTTTTATTGACATAATTTGCTAAAGATCCAAAGTTTTGAAGATGAAAAAAAAATACAATGCAGAGTGAACAAGGATACCGTTTTGTCAATTAGGTATTTTCTTTTATCCTGCAATCAGTCAACTTTGTACAAATAACAGGTACACAAATAAATGTTTGCTTTATTTGTACTTGTACTTGTACATATAAATTCTCCTGTAACTCCGCTTCCATATTGAGCAAACGGTAATGTGAATATTTCTTATTGTGTGACAAATCATTGTGGGGTTCTCTTCGCGGTCCGCATTTAAACTATGTCGATTTCTTTGAAAAATTAGAGACAACTATATGAATTTAAACAACTAAACCTTAAAGTGCTGGGCGTAAATTGCAGGATAAATATAATATCATTCGATATACCGGTATATAGTAATAGTATATAAATTAAAACATCTGCTTAATCCTGAAACCATGCATGATACTAATAAAGTATGCCGCGTCATTTAAATAAACAAAACGTCTAAATTGAGTCTTTAAACGTTACTGAATATAGTGTTTTTTCCATTGGATTGCTCATTATGAAAAAAATAAGGAGATATGGTAGTATTGCCAATGAGACAACTACCCATCATAGACCAGGACAAGTATTTAACAAGTAAGTTGTCAGAAATATAAAATTTCGCTTTTCGTCCTGATTCTAAAGCTCGCACAAATAAATTATATGTGTTCCGTCAATGTACTTATGTTTTGTATATGTCTAGATATATTGACTTTCAATGTCCAATATGATAACTGTTACAGCTAAAACAAAAAAATTCTATACTCACGTAATTGACATATTTGTTGATTTTAATAAATGTTTCAATGTCTATGTGACTTAGTTAACCACGACGATCTTTTTCTGATTCAGTCATGAAGTGTTAAAGATCTTTCCAAAAACAACGAATGAAGCAAGTTATGTTCTCAATATGGTACAGAAATATGGGGTATGCATACACCATTATTTTTATAGATTTTTGTAATGCTTTTAAATATACAAAAAAAAAACATACGGTATCGTTTAAATGAGGCTTTAAATCAAAAGAGTGCAACTACTTAAAATCAATTATTATCGTATGCTTAATGGACATTGCTACAGTATTTCAAAAATTCAAATAAACAAATGAGAAAATAAATCTTATAAACTCATAGATAAAGACACGCATACAATAATGGACTGACATTATAAAACAGAATACCTGTGTTTTCTTTTGAAAGTTAGATATATGGCATGTCCACCATAACGACAGCTCTCTGGATGTCAAAATTTGGCCAAAAATATCAAGTACAGTGAAACAAGATCTAGCCAACACGCGTATACCTTTTTTTACTTGGATAAAAGATATACAATCGTAAGTATGTGTTTCAAGGTTAAAGCCATTACCACTTTTCCTCAAATGGATTTTTTCCATATTTTGGGTACCCCCTATATTATGGGTTATAATAAAGTAGTTATTTTTGTACCATAGATTATAGGTTATAATAAAGTATTTAATATGTTGTCCTCTGAATTTGCTCACGTCCCCGACAACAATGACATAAGTAAACCTCGGAAGTAAAATGTATCCATCAAATTTCCCTTTGTGAATGAAAAGATATCATATGGCATAGACGTTATATTACCAAGATTATTGTATATACAATTTAGGTCGAAGTTCTTATGTATGACAAAGTATGGAAGTTCTATAAATAGCACTTCTTTCTGTAGTAAAATACTTCATCTGGTTTTAAGGTTGTGCTAAAATAACTTGTCACAGAATGATTTCCGTCATGCTTAGAGTATTCCGTTCATGTGGATGAAAACACTGCTTTCTTCATCATATCTTTCTGCGATGGAAATGTCCTTCGTCTGATTTAAGTGAATGTAAAAATATAGTTAGTTTTTTAATATGTTTTTGATTGAAGAGTTGAAAATAAACATATGTGCATGCCTTTTTTTATTGAAATTTGTTATATTCCTATAAAATATCAATTATTTCCTTCAAAGGTTGATAGATAAACAATTTGCTCCCATCACAAGTCACGTTGAAAAGAGAGCAACCCAACAATTTATGTTTACAGTTTACCATTCGTTCGCGCAAGTAAGTATGATAAACTTTTAAAAATTGTCACTAATTTCTTAAGGAAGTTATCCCCGTTAATACATAAGTCAGGACAATATCTAGAAAGTTGCATTTCTGCATACTTTTTTATTATAATTTTTAAAAAGATTTTGAGCGATCATTTGCGACCCAAACTTGACGGCGGGAAAATTTCAATACTACCGTTTAAAAGAAGATAAAAATATGTTACAAATGCCCCTTTTGTTATTAGATTGAAGCGTACGTAGCAAGCTTGAACAAGGATACAGGCACTGGACCATCAGGGGACTCAATTTATTCCAGTAATAGTGTGATTGGTTATACTGAAGAAAATAGACAAATTCATCTTGTAAAGGTAGGTGACAACGCAGTGTCGTTTCCGTTGATGGGTACATATAGTTGACCTTTCTCAAACAACTGTGCTACACGTGTAGACACAAAATAGAGTTTTGATTTAAATCTGATTAACCTGAATTAGTAGAAATATGGTCCTTGAACTGTCAATCCATGTATGAAAGTGGACTTAATTGTGTCGATAGTTATTATCTTGTGTCAAAGACCCTAATCATTTATCTGATTGAAGCTGGAATGAAAATACGGGGTAACCTTTTGGTTTTACTTTCAAAAGTAAAATTATACTCGCAGTATGTAGAGATAACCCCAAGTCCCCAAAATTGGAATTTATACCTTATGTGTATTCACTAGAAGAATTATATTTTAATCACCAAACAGGATACCAAAAGGTGGGGGGGGGGGGGGGGGGGTATTACACAACACAATATGATGGAAACATTTGCATAGAAATAATATATAAATAAACACTTATATATATAAATTGTTTCCAATTACAATATAAACATGTATAGCTTACTATAAGGTATGGATTTTGCTCATTGTTGAAGGCCGTGCAGTGTCATATAGTTGTTCACATCGTCATCTTTTGGTCCCTGGTGGATAGTTATCTCATTGGAATCATAAAACTTTTTCGTGATCTTTATATATAAGATTATTAAACGTGAATATTGTGCACATTCTTTTGTATCCTGAAGCTAGCGTTTGTTTGTTTATCATTACTTTTCATTATTTATGAAGGTAAGTTTTGAAAAGAAATTGATTTCCGAATGTCCTAATTAGAATTTATCATAAACACCAACAACATATCCAAACAACAGCGCATACAGTATATAAACGAAACAATATTGGTCCAAAATTCAACCAAGAATTTCAAACAACGATCCACCACGTTTTAAATGGTTGTAAACTGCTAGCATCTGGTCAATCCCGATGTGATTAAAAACCAACAACATATTCAAACAACAAAGCACAATAATGTATATAAATGCAACAAAATTTGTTCAAAAACAGAACAAGAATTTCAAACAAAAGCGAACCACTATAGTCTAATGGTCTCTGAGTAACAAAATTAAGCCCATAAAAATGACCAAAGCAATTGAACAAAACAAAAATACTTCTTTCAACTTTAGTACAACGTATTTACTTAATGTACATTATCAATTGACAGCGTGAATTTTGAATATAAACATGAACGTCCGCAATTTCACGGAACTCTTTTAGTAAATCTGATATTGGTGTTTAAGAAAACAAGATAATGTGACATAGTTCTTTGACAGATATCCAAACCCAGTAACCAAGCTAAAAAGGCTATCTTTGTTGATGGTGGCATACACGCCCGTGAATGGATATCACCTGCATTTGTTCTTTATCTCATAGATCAGGTAACTAACTAAATATTTTCATAATGTTGTACCACACAGACTGACAGAGCTACTAAACACAATTACATGTATGACTGAAATAGTTGCACATGAAAACATGATAAAGTAATTTTTACAGATATTTAAACCCCAGTAATTAAGCGAAAATGCTATCTTTACCCCGGTAATTTATGAAAGGTGTCTTAATTTTTCAAGTGACCTTCTTTATATAGATACAAATATTACTCATTTTACACAATGGCCACACAAAATACTAGTAGATATATTCGACAAAAGGAGAAAAACTCTTTCAATATCAGTCCAAATGGAAGAGAACGTTTATTTTAACGTTATATAAATGTGTTAATAAAGTTTAGAGTAAATCGCATTCATAGCAGAACGATATAAAAAGCGAAAATCACGTTTATTGAATAAAACTTTTGCAAAAAATAGACTGTTAACACAGAGATATGTCTCGCCTATTTGTTATTCTGATAATGCAAATGTTGAAATGAAAATAGCAACACTTTAACATGTAATTTATGCAAATATTCAAAGTCAATGAACCATGACTGAAGGTACAGGGCTAAACCATCTCCATGGAACCCAGATGTGCCAATGCAATTACAACTGCGTGCCAAATACCATTGACTTTTCATAAGTCGTTCCCTTTAAACAAACCTAAACACAAACATTAACTTGTAAACTATGTAAAAGTTTCAAAGGCAATGAACCATAATGAGGGGGTGCAATACATTCGCATACCAAATATCAATGACTTAACATTAGTGGTTCATCTTAAACTGACCTAAACACAAAATAATACATGTAAACTAAGCAAAAGTTTCAAAGCCAATAGACCATGACTGAGGGGTAAGGACCAAATATTTTCCATGGAAATGAGATGTGATAATGCTTATACAACTGCATACCAATTATCATTGACCTACCACTACCTGTCCCCATTAAACTGACCTAATCACAAACTAATACTTGAAAACTAAGCTAAAGTTACAAAGTCAATAGACCATGACTGAGGGGGCGGGGCCAAATAATCACCATGGAAACGAGATATGCCATATATATGCTTATACAACTACATACCAAATATCATTGATCTACCACTAGTGGTTCACCATAAACAACACCTAATCACAAACTAATATATTGTTGACGCCGCCGCCGGAAACAGCATACCTATGTCTCGCTTTTTGACTCCGTCAAGGCGAGACAATAACCAACTTAAAACAGATGATATGAACGATGGTTTTTCTGCACGTGGGGTAAATAATGCAATGCGTAAAATTTTACAAAAAAAATCATTATTATTATCCCAGTTTTATTTTTGTCTATGATCAATGAATATTATTTAACATACTTTATGAATGCTACTACTATATGCTTTCTTTGCATGTGTTTTTAGTTGAAGTATAACCCCGATCAGTTACAGAGTGTGGAAGACCTTGTAGATACATATGACTGGTATATTGTACCTGTACTTAATCCAGATGGATACAGTTATTCGTTCGCTTCAGTAAGTTGTACAGTGGTGTACTTATGCTTTTAATTGTTGTTGGCGATGAACCTATTCAACTAAGGGTTCGGCTTTGGCTATGTGACTGTCAATGTTTAGTTATTTATACTATAATTGTTGTTTACGATGAACCTATTCAAGTAAGGGTTCTGCTTTGGCTATGTGACTGTCAATGATTAGTTACTTATATTATAATTGTTGTTGACGATGAAGCTATTCAACTAAGGGTTCTGTTTTGGCTATGTGACTGCCAATGATTAGTTATTGACGATGAACCTATTCAACGAAGGGTTCTGCTTTGGCTATGTGACTGCTTAGTAACTTATACTATAATTGTTGTTGACGATGAAGCTATTCAACTAAGGGTTCTGTTTTGGCTATGTGACTGCCAATGATTAGTTATTGACGATGAACCTATTCAACGAAGGGTTCTGCTTTGGCTATGTGACTGCTTAGTTACTTATACTATGATTGTTGTTGACGATAAAGCTATTCAACTAAGGGTTCTGCTTTGGCTATGTGACTGTCAATGATTAGTTACTTATACTATAATTGTTGTTGACGATAAAGCTATTCAACTTAGGGTTCTGCTTTGGCTATGTGACTGCCAATGATTAGTTACTTATACTATAATTGTTGTTGACGATGAAGCTATTCAACTAAGGGTTCTGCTTTGGCTATGTGACTGTCAATGATTATTTACTTATACTATAATTGTTGTTGACGATGAAGCTATTCAACTAAGGGTTCTGCTTTGGCTATGTGACTGCTTAGTTACTTATACTATAATTGTTGTTGACGATAAAGCTATTCAACTAAGGGTTCTGCTTTGGCTATGCGACTGTCAATGATTAGTTACTTATACTATAATTGTTGTTGAGGATGAAGCTATTCAAAGAAGGCTTCTGCTTTGGCTATTTGACTGTCAATAATTAGTTACTTATACTATAATTGTTGTTGACGATGAAGCTATTCAACTAAGGGTTCTGCTTTGGCTATTTGACTGTCAATGATTAGTTACTTATACTATAATTGTTGTTGACGATAAAGCTATTCAACTAAGGGTTCTGCTTTTGCTATGTGACTGTCAATGATTAGTTACTTATACTATAATTGTTGTTGACGATGAAGCTATTCAACTAAGGGTTCTGCTTTGGCTATGTGACTGTCAATGATTAGTTACTTATACTATAATTGTTGTTGACGATGAAGCTATTCAACGAAGGGTTCTGCTATGGCTATGTGACTGTCAATGATTAGTTACTTATACTATAATTGTTGTTGAAGATGAAGCTATTCAACGAAGGGTTCTGCTATGGCTATGTGCCTGTCAATGATTAGTTACTTATACTATAATTGTTGTTGACGATGAAGCTATTCAACTAAGGGTTCTGTTTTGGCTATGTGACTGCCAATGATTAGTTATTGACGATGAACCTATTCAACTTAGGGTTCTGCTTTGGCTATGTGACTGCTTAGTAACTTAAACTATAATTGTTGTTGACGATAAACCTATTCAACGAAGGGTTCTGCTTTGGCTATGTGACTGCTTAGTTACTTATACAATAATTGTTGTTGACGATGAAGCTATTCAACTAAGGGTTCTGCTTTGGCTATGTGACTGTCAATGATTAGTTACTTATACTATAATTGTTGTTGACAATGAAGCTGTTCAACTAAGGGTTCTGCTTTGGCTATGTGACTGTCAATGATTAGTTACTTATACTATAATTGTTGTTGACGATGAAGCTATTCAACGAAGGGTTCTGCCATGGCTATGTGACTGTCAATGATTAGTTATTTATACTATAATTGTTGTTGACGATGAACCTATTCAACGAAGGGTTCTGCTTTGGCTATGTGACTGTCAATGATTAGTTACTTATACTATAATTGTTGTTGACGATGAAGCTTTTCAAAGAAGGGTTCTGTTTTGGCTATGTGACTGCCAATGATTAGTTATCGACGATAAACCTATTCAACGAAGGGTTCTGCTTTGGCTATGTGACTGCTTAGTTACTTATACTATAATTGTTGTTGACGATGAAGCTATTCAACTAAGGATTCTGCTTTGGCTATGTGACTGTCAATGATTAGTTACTTATACTATAATTGTTGTTGACGATGAAGCTATTCAACTTAAGGTTCTGCTTTGGCTATGTGACTGTCAATGATTAGTTATCGACGATAAACCTATTCAACGAAGGGTTCTGCTTTGGCTATGTGACTGCTTAGTTACTTATACTATAATTGTTGTTGACGATGAAGCTATTCAACTAAGGATTCTGCTTTGGCTATGTGACTGTCAATGATTAGTTACTTATACTATAATTGTTGTTGACGATGAAGCTATTCAACGTAGGGTTCTGCTTTGACTATGTGACTGCCAATGATAAGTTATTGACGATGAACCTATTCAACGAAGAGTTCTGCTTTGGCTATGTGACTGTCAATGATTAGTTACTTTTACTATAATTGTTGTTGACGATGAAGCTATTCAAAGAAGGGTCAGTTTTGGTTATGTGACTGCCAATGATTAGTTATTGACGATAAACCTATTCAACGAAGGGTTCTGCTTTGGCTATGTGACTGCTTAGTTACTTATACTATAATTGTTGTTGACGATGAAGCTATTCAACTAAGGGTTCTGCTTTGGCTATGTGACTGTCAATGATTAGTTACTTATACTATAATTGTTGTTGACGATGAAGCTATTCAACTAAGGGTACTGTTTTGGCTATGTGACTGCTTAGTTACTTATACTATAATTGTTGTTGACGATGAAGCTATTCAACTAAGGGTTCTGTTTTGGCTATGTGACTGTCAATGATTAGTTACTTATACTATAATTGTTGTTGACGATGAAGCTATTCAACTAAGGGTTCTGCTTTGGCTATGTGACTGCTTAGTTACTTATACTATAATTGTTGTTGACGATAAAGCTATTCAACTAAGGGTTCTGCTTTGGCTATGCGACTGTCAATGATTAGTTACTTATACTATAATTGTTGTTGACGATGACGCTTTTCAAAGAAGGGTTCTGTTTTGGCTATGTGACTGCCAATGATTAGTTATCGACGATAAACCTATTCAACGAAGGGTTCTGCTTTGGCTATGTGACTGCTTAGTTACTTATACTATAATTGTTGTTGACGATGATCCTATTCAACTAAGGGTTCTGCTTTGGTTATGTGACTGTCAATGATCAGTTACTTATACTATAATTGTTGTTGACGATGAAGCTATTCAACTAAGGGTTCTGCTTTGGCTATGTGACTGTCAATGATTAGTTACTTGTACTATAATTGTTGTTGACGATGAAGCTATTCAACTTAAGGTTCTGCTTTGGCTATGTGACTGTCAATGATTAGTTACTTATACTATAATTGTTGTTGACGATGAAGCTATTCAAAGAAGGGTCAGTTTTGGCTATGTGACTGCCAATGATTAGTTATTGACGATAAACCTATTCAACGAAGGGTTCTGCTTTGGCTATGTGACTGCTTAGTTACTTATACTATAATTGTTGTTGACGATGAAGCTATTCAACTAAGGGTTCTGTTTTGGCTATGTGACTGCTTAGTTACTTATACTATAATTGTTGTTGACGATGAAGCTATTCAACTAAGGGTTCTGTTTTGGCTATGTGACTGTCAATGATTAGTTACTTATACTATAATTGTTGTTGACGATGAAGCTATTCAACTAAGGGTTCTGCTTTGGCTATGTGACTGCTTAGTTACTTATACTATAATTGTTGTTGACGATAAAGCTATTCAACTAAGGGTTCTGCTTTGGCTATGCGACTGTCAATGATTAGTTACTTATGCTATAATTGTTGTTGACGATGAAGCTATTCAACGAAGGGTTCTGCTTTGGCTATGTGACTGCCAATGATTAGTTATTTGTATCTGTGTTTACTTCCATGTTATCTTCAATTCATTTCTTCCAGACTTTTTTCCTTTTTTTAGTCAAAATTTTAAACAGGAACTGCTTGTTGGGAACTACCATGGAGTATCATTTTTTTTTTTTTTTTTTTTTTGATATTTTTTATCAACGGTTTTTAATTTATTGCTATTAATAATCTGAAAATTTTGTATGCAGTGCCGCTTTGAATAGGGTATCTATCTTTTTTTCACATTTACAACTTGATTCACAAATGTTTTAGGACAGGTTGTGGAGAAAGAATAGACGTACAAATTCTGGTTCAACCTGTCATGGTGTTGACCTCAATAGAAACTTCGGTTACCAGTGGAATCCGGGTATGTATTTTAATTTTTGTCAATGTTTGCTCCACATTACTGTCTATTGCTTTTTATTCCATATTCATGCCATCTTGAAATTATTACAACAAATACCGGTATAGGTTCTGCTTGGTTGCCGTATTATGTGGCTAAGGTTCTATTGTCTAGAATTAGATACAGAATTGGGAACATGCCCGAGACAGGAAAAGATATTTTTACATACGAAAAAAAAGAAATAGAATTACAGTATGGGTATTCAAGACCCGATCAAAAATCATTGCGTCATTGTTGACGGGGTTCATGATACTGCGAAGCACTCAGTATCTTTTCGAAAAGGTTCAACTTGTATTTAGTTGAACTTAGTATTCATTTGTTGATTAAACAAGTTCGTTCGTTTAAGGCAAACAGTTCTAACGCCAAGAATTCGCTGTTTATGAGGAATAATATTAGAAGGGTTTAATTTTCTAGTAAAAAACGTTTTTACAAGCCCTGAAGCAGACTTCATGCAAGGCTTCTGAATTAAAAGAATAAGGCATAATTCCTCTAACTGCACATCCCTCCTATATTGTCTTTTTGCTGAATAATTCAAAATGTATCGAAGGTATTGATGGCATCTATCCTATTAAACTTGAAATAAAAGATACAGCAGATGGAGCTATGTCTACTTCATGATTTCATCTTTACAGAGAAATCGATGTTTTCTAATGTGAACTTTTATTTCTTATATAGAAATAATGCAAAATCACTCCCATATGAAGTATATGGAAAGAGTGTTGCTGCCTAAAGGAGGCTACTGTACTAAGGGCTCTATAGAGTAAAACTGAAGTAGACGCTATTAGTTTTACGGTGGCCATCATATTGAATGACTTGTCGTAGTCGTAATCCCATTATCTTTTTTTGTTCATGGATTATCGCTCAAGCAACTGGTTAAAAGTTTGTCTTTGCATTCTTTTGACAGGGCTTGTATAGCGTATATTGAGATCAATGCTTCACAAACCCTAAACAATAATGAAGACATTATATAATATTACCAAATAGAGATTATTTGTTAGTAGATTTTTCTTTTTTAACTTTAAAGAATCTTTAAAATATTGTTTGGTTGGAAAGATAATATTCCCAACAGAAAATTTCCGTTTATGAAACAAAAATGGCTATTTTAGAAATTTCAGAAAATGATATTCTCTTTTTACAGCAATTGGCGGATCCACGAGCGCTTGTAGTGATGTCTTTTCCGGTGTTAGTGCATTTAGTGAAGCAGAGAGCAAAGCAATAAGAGATTACTTTGCCTCCGCCTCAAATGCAGATTTTATTTCATACCTTACTGTTCATTCATACGGTCAGATGTGGTTATATCCATGGGGATATACATCGGCTTTACCAACAGACTGGGTGGACTTGGTATGTACATTGTTCGCAAGCCATATCGTATACATTTTTAAAGGCGTGTTAACAATCATGTAAAGAGGTAAAATCATCTAAAAGATAATTTAGGGATGGGGATATTTTAGTGGATGAGGACAGTGGCGGATCCAGAACTTTTCATAAGGGGGGCCCGCTCCAGTCATGCTTCAGTGATTCCCTATACAACCAACCAAATTTTTCCCACCAAAGGGGGGGCCAGGCCCCCCCCCCCCCCCTGGATCCGCCTATGGAGGATCAGTTCAACCTGATACTACTACAACACAGAGATTGGTCACTCGCGATTTCGCAATAAAACCGTGACTACTGTTAAAGTTAAGGATTATAAAAAGGAATTGAAAATTATGGCCGTGGTTACACCACAAAATCTACTATGAGTACAGACAAACTGATGCATCAAGGAAAGTTTTAAGGGAAAGTTTTAAGGCATGGCAGGACCTAGATATATAAAAGTTATATGTAGTCTATGATTCAGAATATTAAAAACGTACAGTGGATTTTGATGTGCATTTTTTTCCAGTCTGCAGAAGATAGCAAAATAAACAAACACATGAGTTTCATTTCATACGGTCCACTCAGTTACACAGTTTAAATCACCTTTTTTTGCAGATGTCTTTTGTCCATCAATTGTCCTTTTAAATCAATACTACTCGCACCATTTTTTATATGAGGGGAGCTTCTCAAACATCTTTCCCAACTTAGTTTATTTTGGCACCTTCTGCAGAATGAAAAAGAATAATTAGCAAAATCCAAACAAGTTTATAATTTTCTGAAACATAAAATGCATTTAAAATATAATTATCTAGTTCCTGTCATGCCTTAAAACTTTCCAGGTGCACAGGTTTGTCTGTACTCAGAGTAAAATTTGTGGTGTAAATACGGCCTTATTAGCCAAAAGGTAATGATGAACCTTCTTCTTCTTCTTTAGGTTATCAGTAGTCGTTCATTGATCTGAAGATTATTTACTGTTTTGCGCAGCTTGGCCTATATATATATTTACAAAAACAATAATAATTGAAAATGAATTTGAAGTGCGTACATTTTTTTAAATTATGATTAAAACCATGTACATATGCTAGGCTAATAATAAGTTAAATGAACTTGTGGAGAACAGCTGGTATGAGCTGTTCTCTGAAAGTGTCGACTGTAGTGACAGCGACTCTATGGATTGGCAGTAAATTCCACTGAATTATGGTATATGGAAAAAAGAAAAATTGATACGTATCTTTTTTGGTTGAAATGTGTCTGAAAGTGAAATTATGATTTTTGCGGGTTCTACTGTCTGATGGTATGAGAATAGCAGATGGGATTGCTACGATTTGATGTACTATTTTGTAGAACATTCTTAGTCTTGTGCGTAGTCTTCTTTCTTGTAGTGTTGGCCTTAGCCAGTTTAGTGAGATCATGTCTGTCGTAATACTGATGCTATGGTGCCTGTTACAGACATATCTGGCAAGCTCGTCTTTGGACCATCTCGATTTTAGATTTTTGTTCAACTGTGTGAGGGTCCCATACTGAACATGAATATTCCAGTTTTGGTCGGACTAGCACCAGATATGCCTGAGTTTTGACATGATGTTTTTAAATTTCTTTTTAAGAAGACCAAAGATTTGTTGCCATTAGCTATGATGTTGTCTGTATGTTTTGACCATTTTAAGTTTGCTTGTAGTGTAATGCCCAGATATTTAGCTGAAGAGACCAGTTCAAGTTTGTGATTGTGGAGGATATGGTCATGTTTAAGCTGTTTTTATCTTTGGTGAGACTGTAAGGACTGTGCATTTGTCTGGATGGAAAGCCATCAACCAGTCTTGCTCCCATCTAGCAGCTGCATCTAAATCTTACTGTAGTGCATCACAGTCACTTTGAGATTTTATGGTTTTGTAGATGATACTGTCATAGGCAAACAGTCAAAGCTTACTGGATGTAATAACGTTATTTTAACTAAGACTTCAGTTTTGTATATAACCGTAGCAGACGACACATAACCACTGTTCCCGCTTTTACATAATCAGTATTAAAATGTTTTTTTATCTATCAATTGCAGTTATTAGATATAAGAAGATGTGGTATGAGTGCCAATGAGACAACTCTCCATCCAAGTCACAATTTGTAAAAGTAAACCATTATAGGTCAAAGTACGGCCTTCAACACGGAACCTTGGCTCACACCGAACAGCAAGCTATAAAGGGCCCAAAAATGACTAGTGTAAAACCATTTAAACAGGAAAACCAACGGTCTAATCTATATATAAAACGAGATACGAGAAACACTTATGAACCACATCAACAAACGACAACCACTGAACATCAGGTTACTGACTTAGGACTGGTGCAAACAAATCACTATGTAGACTCATCAATTTGGACGTAAATACCTCTGAGTAGGGTTCTATATGGTTTATTATAGGCAATCTCAAATAATTACCCGTGTATATAATAAAGGGGCTGAGCAGTGCTCCTCTATAAAGTTACTGTACTTCTATATACTTCACATACTGGAATCTGAATATAAAGAATGGTTTCCAGAATAAGAATAATAAATATATAGATATCACAATAAAGTGTCAGTGTTCTATATCTCTGCAAAGAATTTGAAAAGAGTGCCTCAATATCAAAGGAGTTCACAGAGTAACCAGTCGGAATAAAGAAATAGAAAACACAGAAGCGAATGGGAAATCAAAGTACTGGCATACTGTATACACTGTCAGAGTCGGTCAATATGTCAATACATGAACAAATACTATTTGTTAAGATAAATAATCAATCAAGCTGTACTACAACTATTCATTTAGAAATGGTTTTTTTTGTTATCATTATTAGTTTTTTTCCGTTATGCGACTCTTTAAAATGTGAATGAATCTGAATGTGTATAGATTAAGGTTCATCATAACAAATGGAAAAAAATGGCTGTGTTTAGACTAACCTGTACAGTTAGAAAAGTTTTAAGGCCTGGCATCCACTAGATATATAAAAGTTAAATGCATTTTGTTTTTCAGAAAGATAAAATCTTTTTTTGATTTTGATGACCATTTTTTTCCGTTCCTGCAGAAGGTGTAAAACTAAACTAAGTTGGAATACAACTTTGAGATGCTCCCTCTCAGGTAAAAACTGTATTGAATTATATTGATTTTCCTTGATTGGTATGGACAATAGACAGACAATAGATATCTACACAAATATTGGTGAGTTAAAGGGTGTAACTGAGTGGACAGTATCAAAAGCAATTGAGGTGTTTGTTTATTTTTACACCTTCTGCAGGCACGAAAAAAAATGCCCATCAAAATCCAAAAAAGATTTTATTTTTCTGAAAAACAAAATGCATTTAACTTTTATATATCTATTGGATGCCAGGCCTTAAAACTTTCTGCACAGGTTACTCTGTACTCAGAGTAGTTTTTGAGGTGTAAATACAGCCATTTTTGACCATTTGTTATGATGAACCTTAATCTCATAATATTAATCTTACATTATGTTTTACTGACAATTGAAATTTTACAATTTGGTGAAACAGGTCCATTAATTGTATCCAATATACAAATATTTACCTGTGAAGACAGGTAGTTTCAAAAGCATGGGACATGAATTTTGATTTCACAGCTGGGTGCTCAAGATACACGAAGGCTCCGTTCATTGTGTGGATGGGGGTTTACAGAATGAATAGAGAATATAGGACAAAAAATATAAAACTATGGTAAAGTGTTTAAAAACAAACATTTATTTACATTTCAAATCCTATTTTCATTCTTTCCAAAATATAGCACTCTTCAATCAGTCACATCGGTTATAAAATTAGTTATAATTTTCTCTTCCGTAATCAACAATGGTGGATCGATGCCTTCTTGCCGAGTCACGTGATCGGAGGCATCGTATTAATTACAATTTGACTGGTCCGTACGGGAAGTGACCAATCTCTGTGTTATAGTAGTCTCAGGTTCAACTCGAAAATATAGTATTCATTGGTAATATGAATAATATAGCGTAAATGATATGGTAATGTAAAATATTTAGGGTCAGTCAAGTTTTAAATAAACCCGGGTCATAGGCGGATCCAGGGAAGGGGGGGGGGGGGGGGGGGGCCTTTCGTGGGAAAAATTTGGTTGATTATATAGGGAATCACTGAAGCATGACCGGAGCGGGGGCCCCCCTTAGGTCAGTCAGCGGGCCCCCTCTTATGAAAAGTTCTGGATCCGCCACTGGGGTGTAGACTCGGTTTTCCACACACGTTATAGTTGTTTTATAATTGACAACACTGACACACACAACTAAAGTACCTTTTCAATTACCATATTTCATTTCGTTGGACTTTACTGGCCTGCACGGATCTGTTATTTGTATAGAAACCGGATTTGTTTTACAATTATGAATAAAAAGGAGATGTTGGGTATACGTCAATGAGGTAACATCCCAACAAAACTAAAAACAAAAACTCTTTAGAATTAAAAAAACTCGTCAAAGATACAAGGCTTATAACTTTGTATGTCGGACGCGCGTGACCTCGAATCAAAAAGTTAAAAGGCCAAATAAAGTATGAAGTTGAAGATCATTGAGAACCCAAAATTTCCGAAAGTTTTTACCAAATACAGCTACTGTAATCTATTCTCTTAAACGATTCCACTTTCTTGTGGTGTGTGTATACAGTTATTATGTCAGATTCTAACAGCTATAAGTACTCGTGTTTTATTGTGTTTAGGAAGCTGCTGGAAACACAGCCAGAGCTGCAATCAGAAACAGATTTAACACTAGATATACAGTTGGGTCCTCCACCAACGTTCTATGTAAGTATAAACTATTACACTCACTCGGATGCGGATTTAGGGGGGTGCCCGGTCCCCCCATTATGGAGCTATATTTATGGTTTATCCAGACTTTTTACCGGTTCCACTACAAATTTTGTCTAGTTTTGGGGCACGCGGGCCCCCTTTTTCAAAATCCTAGATCCGCATCTGTCACTAGTCTTCATTTCTCGTTTCATTGATTATAATTTTCAACTGTTTCTTTATTTGCATTTGCCGTTCCTTAGGTGAGATTAAAGTAAGAGTAAGTTTGTAAATATGAACTACTAGTATTTGAAATAGAAAAGTTTTGTATATGTATTATCCAGTTATATTTATGGAAATCAACCATGAAAGCATCAATTTTGTCGAAACTAGTTCATGTCAACTAATCAAAGAAGACAACCAAAGTTCTGATTGCTACATTTTTTGTATTTTTATTAATAAAGGATTATAACGACCATCTAATGATAAAAAACTAACATTTGCTAGACTGTAATTGTACTTCGGCTGAAGCATTAATTTCTATTGTTGAATATATAACAGATTCAGCTGCCGGTGGATCAGATGACTATGCTAAGGGCGGAGCTGGTATAAAATATTCCTACACATTGGAGCTACGGGATACAGGAAGATATGGGTTTGTGCTACCAGAAAGCAGTATCATTCCTACATGCCAGGAAACAATGGATGGTGTCATAGCCTTTGTCAATGACTTGAAAAACTTACCGCAGACAAAGTAGCGATGGCTTTTTTACAGTTGACTAAATAAAGTCGTCAACATTTTTGTTTGTTATATTTAGATTGTTGTTATATGTTATCAGTACTATACGAACGGAAAAGGACAGCCAAAATTAACAAAACAAAGAGCAAAACACATCTGTATTCGGAAATCTGCATGCTAAAAAAATCGGAAAACAAACGGTGTTCAGAAATGATATGCTTCATCTTTCTTGGCATGTTTTTGTATAATGAGGAAATAAGATACCTACAAAAAGACCTTACTTATGATTTTCTTTGAATTTGAGGGAAATTTTCCTACTAGCAAAATCTCTCTCTTTGCCAGAATGTCTCTCTCTTTGCCAGAATGTCTCTCTCTTTGCCAGAATGTCTCTCTCTTAGTCACTCAAAGGACATTTCTTTTAACGTCAGAAAATAGGTTTTGAATAAGAATCACCATTTCAGTGACTTTTCTTTAAATTTTGATATTTTATTATATTTGTCATGGTCATGATTTCTCAGTGAAATTTGTGTTTATATCCTTCTTCAGTTGTAAGATCCCTCTAAACCATGACACTTGCAGTAGTTCTGGCATTTACCAGCATCGAATCATTGAAATCTGATTTTAGGTGTTATTGGAATAGCATTACACTTGACTTTAAATGCAGCATTTATACTCAAATTCAAATTTGTGCAATAGGTATGTAAAAATGTAAAGACTGTACGTTAAATGCGGCGACAAATATGCAGTTTTTACTTTAAATTGCGATTTCTTGAAAATTCGTATGCAAAATTTTGTTTAAAAAAAAATGATATGTTAACGCTGTGAACATTTCCGTTTCAATGATACGAAAATTATTTAAACACATTATAATATCTATACTATTGTGAAATCTGTTCATGCTAGTACTTTTTAACACTGGTGTATATTTTGCTTGAGCACAGGATTTTAGGAGAAATAAATTTTGTAACATTGCTATACTTAGTACTGGTATTTTTTTATGATATATGTTAATTCAAACTCTTTTTTTAAAGCATTAAGATATAATAGTTTGTGTTGAAATTCTCGGATCTGATGTAGGAGGTAAATTAACCATAAGGACAAAAAAATACAAATGACGCACAAGCTTTCTCTGTATGGTTAGTTACGCTACGAGGCGTTCAAAGAGGTAGTTTTGTTGAGTCGAGTGCACCGCATAAAAGATTTGGCCAAGTTAGCGAGTAACGATTGTTTATAGCTCTGCTTTGGATTGGTAAGTTTTGTGAAAGCCTACTGTAGGTGTGCAGTTGTTGTATAAGGTATGTTTTTTTGGTGGTTATACACAGAAAGATTTGCTAGTTGCTTTATTTATATGTTTTACTCCTGTATATGTATCCGTATAAACATAATTTATGATATGGCTCTTACAAATGAATATATAAATGAGTATTGCATCAATGAATACCTTTCAGGATTTGGCAAGATGAGAACACTAATAAAAAAGACATTTTTATGTATATTTCCAATTAGTTAATTAGATTGTTTATTCATGTACATCGAACCCATACCCCTTCCATTGAGTGTATTTCAAATATATACATGTATATATACATACATTTTTTTCATTTGAAAATTGTTTAAGGTGGATGGGGGGAGGTCTTAATTAAAATCCATAGATTTTTTAATAATTTGTCAAACTGTAGTTTTTATCATGATTTTTTCCAAAATATAATAAAAAGTATGGGTCACCGAACTTTTTTTCACGCTACAGGTTGTGCAAAATTGTCAGATTTTGTAGAGATTATGCATGGAAAATCTAATTTTGAGTGACAAAAAGAAAACTACACCATAGAATTTTAAGATAAAATGTGAGAAAATAGCTCTTATAACATGCTTTCAGATAAGAAAAGGAAAAAATGAGGTCACTAGACTTGTTTTTCTTGCTTCATATTTAAAATAGGTAAATTCACAACACTTTCTATTATAAAAATTACTTTATCTTAGTTATCTCCCCTTATGTGGCAAAGTTGAAATAAAATGAATCAAACAAAAATATTGTGTTTTTTTAGGAAATATAGCCGTAAATATCATAAAACACATAATTTTCTATATTAGCATGAAAAGTCTTACACATGAATTACATACTACTCAAAATTTGCACATTTCAAAAAAGATCTAGACTAATTGGTATCTGCTACTTCAAAATCCAAGATGGAGGAAGACACCCCAGCCACCTTAATCTAAAAAAAAGGGGGGAAAATATGCACAGCCTTTTCATATTTATTCAAATTCTAAATTTATTTCGTTATACAGTTTAAATCTATTTTTGTCATTGTGATTTAAGGACAGTTTATAACATCATTTTCAACTGTTCCTATGTTTATATTTCTTAAGAGTGTAACAGAAATGTGTCATGTATAGAATGAAAATAAAGCAGTTCAATATTTATTTTGAAATATATTAACATCTTGAAGTTGTTCATGTCATACTGCCCACCAAGGGTTCTTAATTGGAACAATAAATAGTATTATGCTTATTCTCTTATCTGTATTTAATATATACTAGTATTGCTCTATACATATTAACATACACAACTAAAAAAATCAAATAACATTGTAACGAATAAAAGAAAATTTTGGAAACAAAAAATATGAAATACACAAAGATTACATTGAAAACGTGTCGAGAGAGTGCCACGCTCTCTGCAAGTCATGGAACCATTGCAACAAGTCTGAGAGGTATGTGGGTATGTTTGCCCTGTCCTTAATATCCTCTTTTTCCAGTGGCATTTCCCAAAATGTTCCACCCTCCTGGTCAACCCAATTTGTATTCAACTATACACCGCATACTATAGGTATATATATTATCTATAACACCTGTTAATGCACAGGCACATTACATATATGTAAAAATAAGACGTTATCTGCGTCTATGTCAACTAAAATCTCATTTTTGCGTAAAACATATGATAGAAATATGTACGTACATTGAAAATAGCAAGAGGGCAGAGAGAGAAAAACCGTCGATAGAGCTTAAAACTTATACTACAGCCACCCCATTTGTATAGAAATGATCATGTTTTGAAATAGGCAATTCAAAAATTCATGCAGATCAAAACAAATAATAGGAAGTACACAACTCCATTATAGGCATTTGAGATTTTGTGTAAATATTTACCATGAAAAAGTTTTGTGACACACATTATATAATATCTGGAAAATTAGGATCAGCCACCTTTAAACCTTATACGAGTCAAATAGGAGTCATCAGTAGCTACCTGAGCTATAGAAGAGTCTTGTGAATATAAGCAGATATAGCATCAGCTAGAAAGGAGGCATTCTGAACATTTTACATGCACAGTAACCATACTAAGCCTTAAAATATGAGTTATGTCTTGGAGGTAACCGCAGGGGCGGATCCAGCCATTTTTAAAAGGGGGGTTCCAACTATATGTCAATTCAAGTGCATTGATCGTCCAAAAAAGGGGGTCCTACCCCCGGAACCCCCCTCTGGATCCGCCACTGTTAAACATATGCATATGAAAATAAACAGGGTAGGCAAAGACCAATAACAAAACATACAATATATACTAAGAACAGAAAGCATCAACTTGGGAGAAAGCAAAATAAACGGTAAAATAGTTTTACCTCACTTTAAAATTCAGGCAATTAAATTCATGCGAAAGGGAATCAAGAAGACTAACGACAAAGGCTTATGTGGAAACATATAACATTTACTAACTACGTCGTCAAATTGGGTACCATATATGACATGTAAATGTCTAGCAAGCACACAACTTGAATTTGATATGGCAGATAAGTCAATAGACATTGACATACAGATAGAAAGGTCACTGGTGAATCCAAGGGATCGGGTTGAGGCGAATTGCAAGAAAACTATGCAGACTAAAGAAGTACATGTTTTACAGCAGACTGTTTTCAAAATTATATACAAACGTCTGGGTTGCTGTCTCATTGACGTTTACCCCACACCTTGTTTAATTCATACTAATGGCGAACTTGATTGTTGATCGGTATTTGAAAACGTATGGTTCTTTAGGCGGGTTTCTACCCCGGATTCCCTCCTTAATCAGGTGATTTCAGGTGACAGTATGGGGTTTCGGCAATGAGATGCAGGGCCTCGCGGCCGAATTTAATACCCCCTCCTTTTTTAAAGTATTCATGAATCTAATAGAAATGAATATAAAGAGGAAGCGCCAATGTCCCCTGATTTATTTCGTTTCGCACTAGGGTCATTTTTTAAAAATCTTAAATTTTACTAAAAATTCACAATAGCACTCTATTTTTTTAAGATTCAAACAATTTAATGCTTATTTCTAAAGATATCTTAAAATTATAAACGTCTGAAGATAGTTCAAAACCTCATTTTTTGACAAATTTTGGTATTTATCCCAAAAATGTATAAAAAGGACATCCATCCTTAATCAACCAAACCAAGAAGTTCTGATGGAAGTAGGTTATTTTTATTGTACATGATATGGACTCTTTAATATAATAATCCCAAAAGGATTTGACAACTTTTATGTTTTGACCTTGAAGATGTAATACCGCCAAATCATAGTAAGTCACATCTGGTTTCATACGAAAAAGGGTCGACTAAAGATATTCACTTGAATTTGAAAGTTGAAGGAAGTTAACCCTGCATTGTAGAAAAAAAATTTCTTAACCATAAACATATATTTTGGATGTTTCAAAGCACTATTCTTTGTTTATTTTAAAATATTTTGGAAACTTACTAAAGTCAGGAGCCTGTAATTCAGTGGTTGTCGTTTGTTTATGTGTTACATATTTGTTTTTCGTTCATTTTTTGTACATAAATTAGGCCGTTAGTTTTCTCGTTTGAATTGTTTTACATTGTCATTTCGGGGCCTTTTATAGCTGACTGTGCGGTATGGGCTTTGCTCATTGTTGAAGGCCGTACGGTGACCTATAGTTGTTAATTTCTGTGGCATTTGGTCTCTTGTGGAGAGTTGTCTCATTGGCAATCATACCCATCTTTTTTATAAAGCTTGTATAAAGAAAAAAATGGGTTGAAAATTTTATTGGTTTACCGGTGATAGTAATATCTTATATGCAATGAAATATGTGAAATTTTCACCATAGTACTGGAAAAGATATAACTTTACTAATGCCAAGTCTTTCTTTTCTTGAAACATAGATAAATTCTGCACATTTTTTTTGACAAATGCCAATTTAACAAAAACTAATAGGGGAAAGACAATGGTGGTATTACTCCTGAAGGTTAAACAAATACAGATGGAAATTGGCCCTCCCTCTTTAACCTACACGCATCACGCATCAATTTTTGAAATTAAGTGTTTACCTATAAAAATTTAAACAATAAAAATATTTTAAATTGACGATCAATTTCACAGTTCTAAAGGTCTGTTATGTAATCTTACGTGATGTATCAATTGTTTAATTTGAGCGTTAAATTTAGTTGATTTTAAGAGATGTATTTCAGTTTTAGGAGTTTGCAAATGGATTGTTTTAGTTTTTTAAACCACATACTATTATCTTACAAAAATCCATTTAGATTAAACAATAAACCTCGTTTATATTTGTACATATGACAAATAAAATGCATGAGATACAGAAGAAAAACATGACAACTTCAATACTTAATCAATGAATTTAAGTTTTTCACGTGAATGGTAAGTTACGATTTTATTATTATTTGGAACCGAGAAAACAAATTTTGTTAGCATAATAATTTTTTTTTTAATTTTACAAACAGTATTTTGTATAAACATGATAAAGTTGCAGCGAAAATTTCAATATCGTCATACAAATTAAAAGAAAATGTTATATCATATGATTTTCCTCTCATCAAAATTTGTAAGTATAATAAATATTTTTTACTCTTTGTCAAATTTAGAGAGTAAAAAACTATTATAACATTTACAAAATATTAATTCCAGAAAAGATTTTTGAACGAAACGATATGTTGGAAACAAATATCAAACTTCGTATTAGAAATTTAAATTTTGAGGACTATCAGGTTCTGCTAATACAGTTTTTAACTTTCCAAGGAATAAGAATTTTTTTTTTGAAAGACGTAATCAGAGATTTTATGTAAAACTTATTCATGAACATGTACACACATTGATTTTAAAATTTTAAATACTGGCTGCAATTTTTTTTCTAATTATCATAAAAATAAGATGTGGTATGATTGCAAATGAGACACTACCAGACTAAATGACGTAGAAGTTAACAATTATAGGTCACCGTCTTGCCTTCAACAATGAGCAAAAACCATACCGCATAGTTAGCTACGAAAGGGTCCGAAATGACTGAATGACATACATGCATATATAAAACAATACATTAATTTAACCTTTCCGAATATAAAAATAAGTATGACTTCATCGATGTAATCTTCTTACTTGATTCATTATTCAAATTTTAAATATTAATAATGAAATAGTTCAATTCTTTTATAAAGTTGTGCCTATAACAATTTGCTAAACACTTAAACCCGCCGAACCCGTTTTAATAGGATGGCAATCCCACGTTAATATACCTGGGAAATGGTCGTCTTTATTCAAATAAAGTTCACTGGTAACCATGGTAATCAAAATTAACATTATTGATGTAAAAGACAGATTAAAAATATAAGTCGGTTTAATATGGGCGTATGACATTTGCGTCAATTTTGAAAATATCATTTATTTTCATTTGAGCCAAAACAAAGTTTTCATTTGCGCCAATTATTAATTTTTCATTTTTGCAAATTTAATTTGAACAGGTAAGATCTGTTACATTTTAGATAATTACCGTTACCTCGGTTAATACAATGTATCAAGTAAGTGGTGTTCAATGAGTACATATTCATGTTGTAACAAAAAAATTGTTCCGGCGTGACATTTGTTCCGCCGGAACTTTTTTCATAGGAAATATGTTCCACCGGAATTCATATCACAGAAAATTTATACCTGGAATATATAATATAAGGAAATATGTTCTAGCACTGCAAAATGTGTTCCGGAACTAATTTTTTAACCAAATGCGAAATAAGTTCCGGAGCAAAAATCACAGCTCCATGAATTTTGTTCCAATATTAAATGTTTTAAAAAAAGTGAAATAAGTTCCTGTGATAGAAATCAATGAATAAGATCTGCTCGAACCTATTTCCGACAGAAAAATTATAAGTTTCTTTGCAACATATTTCACAGCATAATATTTTCAAGAATGCAAGAAAATCATTTTCAACCCAGAGATTTAAAGAATGCTTCATAAGCTGTTTATAGGGAGAGACGTAAAAATACACCAATTTTACCCAAGAATAGACAGGATGCATACACAGCCATCGGCGTCAAAACCATCAAAATTTCTTGCTTGTGAATGACTTTGAAAGCGGAATAATTATTTTTGCAAGCCATGTGAATTTGGAATGTATGTGTAATATTAGTGTGATGATATAACAGAAATATTCATTGATGGAACTTTCAAGTGCTGTCCATAATACTTTTATCAGATGTGCACCATATATGGATGCAAAAATGGTAACTACGTTCCTCTTCTGTAAATTGCTATCTTACGTCTGGTGAATATAGTTTTAGAAACTTTTACAATACACTTATCCTGTTCGTGGACTGGTGAGCATGTGGCAAATGGCAGACGGAAGGGGTATTTTTGTTATTATATCAATAAATTGTGTACAACTTGTTTGTCTCATGACTTGTGTTTACCTGTAAATTGGCGCAAATGAAAAATAAATTGGCGCAAATGCAAAACACCGGTTGATATGATCGTTGACATTTTAATTAAGACATTGAGGGTTGAGAACAAATAAGTTACCTTTTAAAGAGCTATGACCTTGCTTGGTTTTACTTGCAGGAAATGGCAGCTAGATTTATCTATGTTTTCTTGGCTCTGACAACGTTTGCTACACTGCAGACTGCAAGATACGATGAGTATTGAATAAACTTTGTAAAACTTTGATTCATTGGTTGATGATTAATTGACTGTTCATTTTATGATGTTGGGTCATTTGGTACTTCAAATTTGATAAAAAAAGTTGAATATGTGTTTTTTTATACTTAAATGGGTAATTGTTACGATATAAAATGTGTACATAGCGAAATCTTCAGAAATGTACTGCTATTGAATTATTAATTTTATTGTCTTCCCAAACTCTAATTCGCCGACAGCTTTTTCATATTGAGTGGAGTATTGCGGAGCACGACGGAACGGATATGAACGCTGTGCCGGAGATTGACGAACCACATTTTGATTATTTAAATAATAACTTAATGAGTTCCAATGTAGAAAAAATATTCAACGAGTGACAAATGGACGGATAACGCGTAGCGCATGAGTTAGGTGTCAGTGTTGTTTGATCACACGAGTTAAATATTCTTCGATATTTGAATTCTCGGATTAGGTTTTTATTATTACCTGGGACTATTATACTAACCTGGGACTATTATACTAACGGGACTGGAAACTGATCGATCTGTTGAGATTTCATTGTCCCGATAGCGGATTATTGATTTTTTGTTTTGATTGACAGCTAGCCTATCGTGCCACGTGGGTAGTATAATAGTCCCAGTTAGTACATTGACTTTGAATGTAACTAAAGCAGAACATTCCAGAAGCTATCCTTTTCTATGTGTTCTCACTTTTTTTAGAGACAACTTCTTTGGTGTCAACAACGTCTTGGCAACACCTCTTGTTGCATAGTGCCAGAGCAGTGAGATTGCAATATTCACATATGAAATATGGTTTTTATTTGATTTGGAAATCATGGTATAGAATAGAATAGAATAGAATATTTTTATTTCCCAAATTACAGGGCCCATAAAGGGCATAAAATCAGATACAATTGATTTACATAATTGGTAACAACAACAATAATAGTCACTTGAAAATATATATTTAGTATATATGCATTGGTCAGAATCAGAGCCAAAAACCACATATATATTGTGAATAAAAGAATAAAATTACATTATATGCATTCATTCTCAAATCATTTACTTGACTTAGTGTCAATATGCATACCTGATCTCCTTAATTCAAAACAGTCACAAATATAACAGCCCAGTTTTTCCATAAGAGTTACATTTTCTTGAGTCAAGAGCCATAAAAATTTAGAAGATTTATTTAAATTTTTAAAATTATAACAATTGTCAGATATGTATTGAAAAAAGTCTTCCCTTTGAGTATCATAAAGAGGACATTCTAACAAAAAATGAAGCTCATCTTCAACTTTACCAAGTGAGCAATTTGAACAAAGACGCTCAGATCTTTCTATATATTTTTTTTTGAATATCTGTCTGTCTCAATTTTTAAAGAGTGAGCACTTATTCTTAATTTACAAACTGACTGTCTTTTTTTAAAATCCTGTAGTTCTAAATATTTTTCTTTTTTAAAACAATTTTTTATAGAAAAATAAGTACCAAGCTTCCCTTTTTCAGAGTTAATTGTTTGATACTTCAGTCTATTCCAAAATGTTAAATAACTTTCACATAGTTTATTTTTAACATACTGACATAAAGAACCAATTGATTGGTCAAAATTTGGTAAATCAATCTCTCTCTGAATATAATCTATACTAGAGTACCATGTATTTACATTAGAAATATGTAATTGTTTACAACATATGAATGCATCAAATAATAATCCTTCTCTCAAACCTTCCATTCTATATATGACAATATTTTAACATTGATAAAATTATAGTAAAATAAATAGGAAATCTACCAAGCTCTGACATCACAGCTATGTTACTGGACTTTCTGTTTACACCAAGAATATATTTCATAAATTTGTTATGAGCTTTTTCAGAGGAATCCTGACCAAAAACTTTTTCCAATATATAATCATTATTTTTTTTACATGCAGCTGAATCAGTACGAAACATTCCCCATATTTCACTGCCATATAATAGTATGGGTTTAATTGTATGATCATAAAGATGTAAAAAAGTGGCAATACTAGGGTTAGATGATGACAAGCATCTCTGTAGCTTAAAACATGCTTTTAAAGATTTGTTGTATAATTCATCTTTACACTGCTTGAATATACCACTAGATGTAAATGTGATTCCAAGATATCTATATAATTTTGCACATTCTATCTCTTTACCTCCAAAATGTAAACAGCATTTTAAGAATTTTCCTGGCTTGTTAAAAATTATACTTTTTGTCTTTTTTAGATTAACATCAAAACACCATTCTAAACAATATTCATGTAACATATTAATTCTCTTTTGCAAACCTTCTTGTGTTTCTTAAAAAATTACGACATCATCAGCATACATAAGACAATCTACTCTACGGTTATTAATAGTTACTGGATCAGGACATGACAAAAACTTGTCAGGTAGATCATTAATAAATATTTTGAAAATATTTGGGCTTAAAACATCACCTTGTCTAACCCCTATAAATGATTTAAAACATGGGGTCATTTCATTATCAATTTTAACACATAGGTCACTTTTATTATACATATCTTTAATGATAGAATAAAACTTTCCAGTAATATTGTTTGTTAATAGCTTATATCTGATACCCTCATGAATCACTTTATCAAAAGCCTGTTTAAAATCTACAAAACAGGCAAATAGTTTACCCCCCTTTTTACTAATATATTTATCAATAATGGTTTTTAAAACAAAAAACATGATCAGATGGTCTACATTTTTTTGAAAATCCAATTTGACATGGATTAATCAATGATTCTTTTACCAAAAAATGATCTAGTCTGTTATTCAAAACAGAGTTAAATAATTTACCAACACAAGAATTAATGGCAATGCCACGATAATTATCTCTTTTACTTGGATCACCAGACTTAAAAACAGCAGATAAATAAACTGATGACCACTGCATTGGATATATACCAGATGAAAATACATGGTTAAAAAGTTTCTGAATTAAAGGTTTTAGAACTAAACTTCCTGCCTTTAGCATCTCATTAGGTATACCATCCAGACCTAATGCTTTACCACTTTTGAGTTTAGATATTGATTCAAATATTTCTTTAGTAGAGAATCTATAATCTAATTCACAGAAAGTTTTATTTTTTTCCATATTTTCTATTTTAGAATTAATTTCTTTAATTCTTGTCTCACTGATTGAAGGAGATTTATTCAAATCTGAAAAATGATTAAACCAGGCTTCTGGTTCTACCAACTTTTCTTTACTATCGTCTGTAGACTCCTTTAAAGAATTAATAAGTTTCCAGTATTGTTTTGGATCAGAATCTCTTAGATTATCAAGACTATTCAGGATGGACTGTTTAAATGTGCGCATTTTATATTTACACAATTTCTTATATTCTCTGTAGCATTTATAATATGAACCTCTGATGATAGGATCATACGGAAATTTTGACAACAATTCACCTTTTGATACTAGAGTTTTCCTCTTTACACCTAAATCAGAATCAAACCATTTACAGTTAGGTCTTCTTTTTTTAGATGATTTATTGCGAAAAATATTTGCCTTTGAAGCAGCAACATTTATAATATTTAAAAAATCAGAAACTGCTCTCTCTGAATCTTCATTGTCATAATCATGATTCATAAAATTATTTAAAAGAGTTTTGCAAACAGGGTGGCAAAGTGCATCTTGAAATTTACTGGTTGATGATTTTGTCCACTTATAACCACCAGGAAATGCATGCATTTTAAATTTATTAACAGATAAATGTGAAGAATATTATTGCAAGCAAGTCATAAATCGACTAAGAATTGGAGTAAAATTGTTACAAATATTTGTCTATCAAATTCGATGGATTATTTTATTATTGTTATTTACATGTGTATCATACCCCAACGCTTTTTGAAGCAAGTGGGTATATAATAATAGGGCTGTTCGTCCATTCCGTTACACTTGTGTATCAATTACTGCTCCTAAAAATGATGTAGGAGTTTTGTTGAACTTTCATACTGTGAAACTTATTGTCCCATGATGTACTTGTTTACTTTGGCATGGCATTAACTTTGTCATATCCGCACAATATAGCACGCATTTGAATCTGCTTCTTAACTCCTTACTATTTTTTTGTCCGTATTATTTTTGGGTTTCCCAAGGCAAATCATAGATGTAACTTTTCCTTAATGTGGAGGGGGGATGTCATTGTGTGACCTTTGCTCCCAGTACCTCTAGTTTGTTTACTGTAATGACGTTACTATCTACAGTTATCAGGTACTGCAGGTGACACCTATGTCACTAGAAAATAAGAAAGAAGTGCTGCAGATTATTCAAAGACACGACGTAAGATATTTAAAAATATTTTGTCAGGACAGCGAATACTATCTCAATGTAACGAGTTATTTATTGTGTATATGTCAGCGAGACAGCAACCCAACAATACAAAGAAGGTGCGTCTATCTTGTTTGCAAAAGATTTATATATGTACTTGTGATAGAAAACTTTCTACAGTGAATCAGGATTTTACCTTCGAGGGGTAGTGGCAATTTCCTTTGAATTTGTTGCATTGACACGGTCATTTTCAAACTCGTCGTCAGATCATTCTGAAAATTGAAATTTGAATGAAAAAATCAAATAACTATTTTTATATGTTTCTATTAATTCAAAATGTTATTTAGCGCAACACGTTGCTGTTGAAGACATTTCAATTGAAAATTGCAAATTTTACATGTTTTTGTAAAAAGTTGCACCAACGGACGTCGTTTACCAAAATTAATTCATTTGTATGATCTATAGGACAATGTAAAGCAGTACTTCTACCATAATTTTGTTTTATTTAAGGGTGGCCTTCGTTTACATTTGTATGATCTATAAGACAATGTAAAGCAGTACTTCTACCATAATTTGGTTTTAGTTAAGGGTGGCCTTCGTTTACATTTTTAACAGGATAAATACTCAATTTTTCAAAAATCTGTCTTTGGACTTCTTTTCGACGTTTATAATTTGGTGATATGTTTAAAAAACCATAATATTAACATAACCTTAAAGTAACACATGGAGCTGTTTAAGTAAAGGTGCCATCTAATTTCTCGTGTGTTATTATAAAGGGTTAGTGAATGGATTATGATTAACAATATCCCAAATAGATTTGTATTCTACGATGGCTAATATTCCCCAATATTCCTGCAATAACCCTTTTATTTTAGATCAAAGTTTAAAGAACTGTTTCAAAAATATTTTTGTCACTGATAACATTGATATTTTGAAGCTATATTATCATAGAATATTGCACACTTACTTTCTGTTACTTTCAGTTAAAAATACTATGTTGCTATGTTATCGTCTCTCATTAATCTGTACAGATTGGCTTATGTATACAAAATGTATCTTTTATAAATGTATTGTATAATTTTATGCATAAGGTGAGACGTAAATAAAAAAAAAATATTGAATTGAATTGCTAAAAAAATAATGTAATTTCTCGTATGACGTATGTTGTTATTTTATTTCTCGTATGTTATTCTGTAATTTCTCGTATGTTATTATTTTATTACTTGTATGTTATTATTTAATTTCTAGCATGTTATAATGTAATTTCTTGTATGTTACTATTTTATTTCTCGTAGGTTATAATGTAATATCTCATATATTATTATGTAATTTCTCGTATGTTATTCTGTAATTTCTTGTATGTTATCATTTTATTTCTCGCGTTTTTATTGTATTTCTCGTATGTTGTTGTTTTATTTCTCGTACGTTATTATTTATTTCTCGTATGTTATTATTTTATTTATCGCATGCTATCATTTAATTTCGCGTATGTTATAATTTTATTTCTCGCATGTTATTAGTTAATTTCTCTTATATACTAGTAATCATTTGATTTCTCGTATGTTATCATGCAATTTCTCATAGGTTAGAACGTGATTTCTCGTTTGTCATTATGTAATTTCTCGTTATTGTATGCTATCATTTTATGTCTCGGATGTTATTATTTTATTTATCGGATGTTATTATTTTATTTCTCCTGCGTTATTATGTTTATCTATGTGTGTTATTATGTTTATCTCTCGTGTGTTATTATGTATATCTTTCGTGTGTTATTATGTTTATCTATGTGTGTTATTATGATTATCTTTCTTGTTACTATGTTTATCATCGTGTGTTATTATGTTTATCTCTGTGTGTTATTATGTTTATCTCTCGTGTGTTATTAAGTTTATCTTTCGTGTGTTATTATGTTTATCTCTCGTGTGTTATTATGTTTATCGTTCGTGTGTTTTTATGTTTATCTCTGTGTGTTATTATGTTAACTCTCGTGTGTTATTATGTTTATCTCTCGTGTGTTATTATGTTATTTCTCCCTACAATGGTGAACAATTTTCAGCGAATGATACACAACATTGAAATGGAAGGTTTCTTTTAATTCCAGGTTAGTATATGGCACAGACAAAGAAATGGTAAATCCATAGACATACAGGTGTCTCCAAACATAATAGATGTTGTTACTCGAGAGTTACATGATGTTAACGCGCCATATTCTAGATGGATACCAAATATCCAGTTGTATGTATACATAGGACATCTTCAATATTCAAAAAGGGGTAACAATGAAGGATCATGGGGTGAAACTTTTTTACCCTCTTGAAAAACAGGGTTTATTCAGACACTTCAAGTGTTTCCACAGGTGAAGAGAAAATTTTAATTTCATTTAAACTGTTGAAACTAAGGACAGTCAGTATTTTTAAAATAAATAACATTGGCCACTTCTCTTTTTGACGAAAAACACTCAGCTGAAGAAAAACCGATATGGTATCCGTACTTACAAGCGTTTCTGAAATAATCTTCATCCGGGACGCTCGTTTAAGTTTAATTTTGCCTGAGGGGTTCAGTGTAACCTTAGTTTTAGGACAATTACATAATTTTATGATCTCGTAAATTACAAACAATTTTTTTTCTCATTTAAATCACGCCAGTTCCGGAGCACTGCATGGTTACAGTACGCGGATGGTACACTCGGAAACTAATATGAAAATGTGGTATGATTGCCAATGAGACAACATTCCACCAGAGACCAAAAGATGAGGATGTAAACAACTTTTGGTCACTGTACGACCGTCAACAATGGGCAAAACCCATACCGTATTGTAAGCTTTGAAAGGCTAATTAATACAACATGATGTTTACATGAGTAAACCTTATCCATAAAACTACTTGTGAATCCACTAATGATATAGCCTTACACTGGGATGTTTGTTCCCAAAATACGGTCGAACGCCGGACTTGATGTTTGGGCTCATGGGTGGGCTCGGTTGCTTTTATTGATAAATTGATACAATAATCTAATCAACACGATATTTACATGAATAAACCTTAACCAGAAAACTACTTTGTTCCCTAACACGACCGAAACACCTGACCTAAAGTTTGGGCTCATGTGTGAGCTCGGATGCTTTTATTGATATAATACTAGTTTCAAATAATTGTATGAACATTTTTTGTCTTTTTATTTGATTTATAAAAAATCTGTATAGAAATTACTTATAGTATATGTGATCGCTATTTTTATATGTGGTTAATAAGCACAATAAAGATAGATTTGTTATTTTTAACTTTTTGTCAGAAAATTTATCATGATTTGTTATCATTGCAAAAACCATTGTTTTTTTTTATATTGCATTTTATATTTTTATATTATATATTAGATTGATAGATGAGCAACAGATTGAAGAGTATGAAAAAGCAGATGGCTTCAAAGATCCCGGACAAACGTTTTCTCTTTCACGATACAACACATTTGAAGAGGTGAGGATAAATATGTTATCACACCGCGATCAGATAACTGTCCTATGCTTTGGTTTCAACCTGAAATTAACATGGTTACTAGTCATTTAGAATTTATATATATCAACACCGTCAAACATTTCTAATTTAATCTCAGTCAACGTTCAAAATACAACTGGCGTGACGTCAAAACAGGTTTAGTTAGTTGGTTTACAAAGCGAAAAAAGAGTGTCATATTAAAGCTAATTTCCTTATGCTTGTAGAATAAGACTTTGGTTAGCTTGCTTGCTTTGTTTGTATAAAAATTTGCTAAATCATTGTAATTAAGATCGACATCTGCAAACAATATAGATAAGCGGAGTTTAACCTGTTTACATGTACAATTGGGTGTTCCTAATCTTCAGGAAAGCATCCAATCAAATTTAAGTATAATGTGTACATGTTTAACTCCGCCTTTCTATATTGTTTGCAGATGTCAATCTTAATTATAATTCTTGAGCAAACGTTTATACAAACAAAGCGAGCAAGCCACAAGCCAACCAAAGTTTTACTCTACAAGCATTAGGAAACTAGCTTTATATAGTCACCATTTTTAAATACTTCGTATTCGCTCAGTGAGCGATGTCATTTCTTTTACCCTGGGGGAATTTGATCAATCTTTCATTTTCTGTGTTTGGTTTTAGTTCTGTTGTTTGTCTTTTCTAATGTATTTTCTGCCCAACTTCTGTTTCTCATTTTTTTTTTTTTTTTTTTTGTGTGTCTTCTTACTGTTTTTCGCAAGAAGATATGGCACAAATTTGGCTAGAATCTCTATTTTTAAGTAAACACGCGATAATATTCTTGAACATGTAATTTAATCGAGATATCTGCATTCATACACAGTCTAACAAGAACATTCTTGAACGTGTAATTTCAGATATCTGCATTCATACACAGTCTGACAAGATCATTTTTGAACATGTAATTTCAGATATCTGCATTCATACACAGCCCGACAAGATCATTCTTAAACATGTGATTTCAGATATCTGCATTCATACACAGTCTGACAAAAACATTACTGAATGTGTAATTTCAGATATCTGAATTCATACACAGTCTGACGAAAACATTCTTGAACATGTAATTTCAGATATCTGCATTCATACACATGTAATTTCAGATATCTGCATTCATACACAGCCTGACAAGAACAAAATTCACTGGACCATCAGGAGATGATATATTGGTAGATCACAAAGTTATTGGTAAAACATATGAGGAAAACCCTATTCATCTCATTAAGGTAGTCAATAGTCAAATCATCGTTTAAAAAAACCCTTTTACAAATAGTTTTTTAATTCATCGGTGGATATAAAGGCAATGGGTTTGTCAAATTGTTTAATCCTTATTGTTACAGCAAATGAAAGGATTCCATTTTGAGTATTGGACGATTTTTCACAATATACGTAGGGAGATACACAGTGTGTGTCCTGTCCATTTCTAAAGTTTGGGTTCTTGCAGCTAACAATAGTTTTTGAATTCTTTAGCAATGGAAATTAGGAAATTAGTCAACGGAAAATCTCATTCAATTTAAATTTATATGAATGACCCTGTATCGTACTTTGTTGTGTCTTCCTATTTTATTTGGACGATCAGAATGGTTTTAGGTGGGTTTTTTTTGGCAAAGCGAAACATCAACTTTGCCAGTTCCTTATAAGGATATAAAATTGAGAATGGAAATGGGGAATATGTCATGTTTATTATTGTGCGATTCATAGTTTTGTGTGAATTTGGTTAGTTTTATGACGTTGCTTATATCACTTTTGTAATTCTTAGAATAGATGAGGGAAAAAAACAAAGAAACATTTTCTTTAAACTATTGGTGCCTTTCAACATCATTGGTTTGTGAAAAAATCATAATAGAACACCAAAATACTTTCTTACCGTTGATCTACTTTTTACTGAATTATGAACTACGTATATAGAATATGCTTTCCATGTCAACGTAGCTGGTCGCATTCTGTTTGGAGCTCATGTATAACCGTTTCACTTCCGAATTTGTGTGTTTGTCTGTCGGTTTTAATATTTGAATTGACTTCGGTACAGTATGAAATCTAGTGAACGAAAACAAAAGAAAATTCACTCTTATGGAAGAGTCGAGAAAATCAATAATAAAACAATGCTGGTGACGATACTGATCAAAATTTATTTCTAAATAACAATTGTACATTTTAAAAAAATGATCTGTTAAATTGTGTTATTAAACATATACATGCAAATACACGATGTTTTATGTTAAGTATTTATCGAGATAATTGCATTCAATCTCAGTCGTAAGTATTTTTTTGAAACCGACTCCAGTTAATCAATACAGCTCACTACAATTATTTACATAGGGGAACATCTCAAAACATTTTTCCAAACTTAGTTAATTTTGGCACCTTCTGTGAGAACGAAAAAAAAGGAACATCAAAATCCAAAAAAGTTGATAATTTTCTGAAACATAAAACATATTCAAAATTTAATTCTCTAGTTCCTGTCATGCCTTAAAACTTTTCCAGCTGCACAGGTTTGTCTCCGAGTAAAATGTGTGGTGTAAATACGGCCATATTAGCCAAAAGGTTATGATGAACCTTTACATTTTTTAGATTTCAGTTTCACAAGCTTCTCAATGCAATTATCTCGAAGCATTTCCCACTGGGTATACTATGCTTATTGTTAATTCAAAATCCGTTTTATAGATTATCCTTCATTAGATTGTTCTTATGGATATAACTTAAGATATTCTATAAGATAATAAACAAATAATACATAACATTATCCATTATTCACAATATTCTTCGAAACTGTAAATAAAATATTACAAATAAAATTATGTTCAAATGATTCGAATTCCAAAATCACTTGTAAAAAAAACGAGAAATTAAAAAAGAAACAGAATTCTTCACGATCAATGACAAAAGTCTTGTATGATAGTTTTTTAAGGTTTGCGTACCACACAAGTATTTTAAAGATTTCTGTCTTGATTACAGATATCCAAACTAGGTTCACCGAAAAAAGCCATATTTTTGGAAAGCGGTATTCATGCCCGTGAATGGATTGCTCCAGCAGTTGCACTATATATTATCAATCAGGTACCATCTTATCTTTATTAACCAGGTTATTTTACAGCAAAATCAATTAATTACAAGTTTAACCAGTTAATTGGACCAAAAGATAATCGAGGAAATTTCGGGTATTAAAATGAGGTACAATTTATTCATGAGACGAAACCTTCGATTTACATGAACTCTTAGACTACCTTAGCAGTCATAATTTCATCACTTGAGTCCTTATCTAGGTCTTGCTAGAATAGAAATAGACCATTTGCAAAACGCGTATGGCTCAAAGAAGTGTCAAAATGAGGATTCTGCACCACCATTGAATTTTACAGATATAAGGAATTTTTATCTAAAACTCGGAAAGGGGATGCAAACAAAAAGTGTCTCAATTAATTGAATGATTGTTGTTTGCTCAACGTCCAGTGGTATGCATAACCAGGACAGGTCTCAATTGAGTACCAATCAATTACAATTTGGCATTTATAACCAAAAAAAACTTGGAAGTCGAAAAGGTCACAGACGAATTATTGAATCAAGAAGCTGAAATTGTAGTGAAAGCTGTACATCAAGGTCTTTTACATACCCAAGATGCAGTTCCCAGGTAGACTGGTTTATCAAACTTGAGCTTTGTCTTCTTCATATGGATCGATACCAGGTGTTTGTCGATTACCACCCGTCGATCGAAGTTTGGCTCGACCACGAGCTCCAATACATGCTTCTCTGTCGTTACCAGTTTTGCATTGACCGTTTTCCGGATTTCCACATGCATAGTCTTTCCAAACACGGAGTGGCTCATCATTTTGAAAAACTCCTTATCAGAATCTGGCTCGAAGACTAAGATCCGATGCAATTTGGCCAGCGTCACATCCATCCATATAGATGTGTACTGTTTGATAGAACTTATTTGATGCCGTTATCTAGCGGGGTCATCAGTTTGTGTACTTGATTGATCTCCACCATCTCATGTCCAAAGGATAATCGCTGTGATCGTCGTAAAGTTGCTAGCTCTGGATACACTATATAGGTCATCCTTTACCATGATGTCCATACTTGTGATCATTGGAGTGTGTCACGATGTCCTCGGATCCTTTTTAACCATTCTGTTTGCGTCCAGGTATGTCAGGTAAAATACTTGGACGGTTGTCTTCTGTCGTAGTCTCTCTAGTACGGCGGATTGGTATCCTTAATATGTTGGTGGGAACTCATAGCGACTCTTCCTATGGTTTCTTTCTCAATCATGGATAACATGTCGTGGGTAGGACAACAATTCCAATATAACCTCGGTGTTTTTTTTTTAACCTGCATCGTTTGCCAGTCCGGGGGCTGTATAAAACCATGTGGAGACAAAGTTGTAGTTCTCCATGCACACATCCCTGTGGTGTTTGAAGATGTCCATCAGTTGCACACGTCGAATACCAGGTAAATTTAAGGCTATACATTGTACAATAACATGATAGTTCCGTTTAGTCTTATACTCGAACGTGTCATATACTTTTTGAATGTGTGCGAAGTCTTCGTCTTCTTCTCTTGACCATTCAAGATCTTACGGTTGTAAAGTTTTCAAAGACTAAAGATACGCATACTCTAAGATTGATATTCTTATTGATTTTGTTTTATAGCTTGCATACAACCCAAGCAGATCTACAGCTGTTGAACAACTGGTTGATGACTTTGACTGGTACATTATTCCAGTTCTTAACCCAGACGGCTACGTTTATACTCATAACAAAGTGAGTTACACCAGTAATGGTAATAGTAACAACAATGGTATCAATGTTACTGCATCACTATTAGTAGCTCTCTTTCTCTCTGAAAACTTAAATGGCATTCAGAATGCAAATGGAATTTGAAAATATGAATGCAACTTACGAGTTAGAACCCATGTCATCAATTTGTGAGAGCTTCTTTCCTCTATCCTACGGAAAAGCCTTGTGGTTTTCAACTAAAAAAATGTCAAATAAGTTCATTTCAAATGTGTTATAAATCATGATACCGAATATGTTCTGTTATCAACAGGATAGACTTTGGAGGAAGAACAGACGACGGCCTTTATTTGGAGATAATTTGACAGACATCTGTCATGGAGTTGATCTAAACAGAAACTTCGATTATAAATGGGGTATGTATACAGATACAGATACAGATTAGTACGTAAGAAAATATATCTACGATCAGTTCCACACACTCACCTGATGATGATCGACCAAATCGTATTGCATTCTCAGACTATCTGCGATAAGTTCCACACACTCACCTGATGATGATCGACCAAATCGTATTGCATTCTCAGACTATCTGCGATCAGTTCCACACACTCACCTGATGATGATCGAACAAATCGTATTGCATTCTCATACTATTGATATTGCTTACGCAAAAGGCTTTGACCTTAATTATTGGGTGCCACCTCGTCGACCAAATACTTTCTGATCTTTTCCAAGTTTCAGTTGGAATTCACGACTTTAAAATGATGACATATTTTATTCCGTTGCCATGGAAAGGTTTTAAACAAGAACAAATCAGGTGCAGAGTAAAGATATTCCTACATCTCAGATTGTGAGACACGTCGATATGAATGCTTTACATAATACTAGTAAATAGATATCATATGTGCTTTGCTCCATCATTATACCTCCTCTTTAATTTAGCACTTACTTTAGACAAAAAAAACCCATAAAAATACCAATTGCACAATACATGTATTTTGTTTTGTTATACTACAAAGCAATAACTCAATACGCATGGAAACCATGTTTAGTGTCATTTTTATGGATAATATTGTCCTTACCCTGCTTGCTACAAGGTCTGTGCTGCTAATGCCTATTGCCGAGGACAACCTTTAGATGACTCTCTTAATTTTGTGGCTGTTATTTATATCATTGGCGTTTACCCCACATCTATTTTTAATTGTATAATTTTGGAGTGGTATATAGAACTTTTGGCAATTGTTTTTTTTCTAGGAGAAGGTACCTCAACAGAAGATCCATGTACAGAAACGTATTCTGGACCCAGTCCCTTTTCTGAACCAGAAACCTTAGCTGTGAGAAAGCTCTTGATGAACAGAAACATCGATTTCCTGTTATATATATCCTTGCATTCCTATGGACAATACTGGGTGTATCCATGGGGGTACACGTCGACGTATACTAAAGATGTCAAATATTTGGTATGTTTGTTCAAATGTATCTATGTGCCTCTTTTTTTATTCCATACTGCCATGATTTAAATTAAATTAACAAAAAAATCGTGAATCCCAATTAAATAAATGTAATAGTTTTCAAACATTACAATTAGTTGATATTTTTTTAATCTCACACTAAGGTTCAACATTTGTATGAAAATTTGGTCTTGGATAGTTCTGGTAACTTTGATTTGTATTTTTCTCAATTTCTGCTTTACGTGTACTTGTGCATCTTTGGCTTTTGAAACTTTTTGGTATGGCCTTAGTGATGAACATTTTAAAAGCAGGAAAGCATTTAAAACGAAGACAATAAAGCACACTTAGAAACACTTTATACATACAAAATTTTACACAAGCTGTTTATGGTGTAAAATAAATCATTTAAGGAATAACTGTTTCTTATTTACCGGCAGCAATCGTGATTTTAAACACTTGTGTCAAGCTATCCAGCAATTCTCATCCTGCAATTCTCTTGCGATAAAGCTATCCTGCAATTCGTCATCCTGCAATTGCGTTCGAAAAACAACTTGAGTGACAATTTCATTTTTTTTCAAAATCATGATTTTTGACTTGTTTTGTTTGAAAAAAAGATAAATATCAAGTTTTTTATATCCCATTCACAAATTTCTAACTTTAATTTACACATTTCTAACTCATCTTTACGGTTTATAACTAGAATTTACAATAAGAAAAATCATGACGATTCACAAAGAGTTATATATCTGTGAAGTCCCGGATATGGTTCGTTTTTATGCATGTTTAAGAATTTCTTGGGTAAGCTTTCCTAAAGGGCCAAAATTTCGTTCGAAACACGGAAATAAAGCCAAATTCGATAAAATATGCTCTAGGGTCACCTACTTTCCAACCAATTGTCTGGGTAGTTCTTTATGTCTAGGGATTATAACCTCTGCTCTAATAAATAGCTATTGGATATTACTACAACGGGAGGGTATAGAATTTCTGGGGTAAGCATTCTTAAAGGCCGAAAAAGTCGTCCGAAACATGGAAATAAAGCCAAATTCTATGAAATACGCATTGGGGTACCCACTTTCCGACCCATTAATTCTGTAGTTCTTTATGGCTTGGGATTATAGACTCTGCTCTAATAAATAGCTATGGGATAGTACTACAACGGGAGGGTAAAGAATTTCTGGGGTACGCTTTCTTAAAGGGCCAAAATTTCGTTCGAAACACGGAAATAAAGCCAAATTCGATAAAATACGCTCTAGGGTCACCCACTTTCCAACCAATTGTCTGGTTAGTTCTTAATGGCTAGGGATTAGAGACTCTGCTTCAATGAATAGCTATTATATAGTTCTACATTGGGATAGTAGATAATTTCTTGGGTAAGTATTCCTAAAGGCCAAAAATTTCGTCCGAAACATGGAAAAAAGCCAAATTTGATGAAATACGCATTGGGGTACGCACTTTCCGACCCATTAATTCTGTAGTTCTTGGTGACTAGGGATTATAGACTCTGCTTCAATAATTAGCTATTATATAGTACTACAACGGGAAGGTAACAAATTTCTGGGATAAGCATTCTGAAAGGCCGAAAATGTCGTCCGAAACATGGAAGTAAAGCCAAATTCTATGAAATACGCATTGGGGTACCCACTTTCCGACCCATTAATTCTGTAGTTCTTTATGGCTAGGGATTATAGACTCTGCTCTAATAAATAGCTATTGGATAGTACTACAACGGAAGGGTAAATAATTTCTGGGGTACGCTTTCTTAAAGGGCCAAAATTTCGTTCGAAACACGGAAATAAAGCCAAATTCGATAAAATACGCTCTAGGGTCACCCACTTTCCAACCAAATGTCTGGTTAGTTCTTAATGGCTAGGGATTAGAGACTCTGCTTAAATGAATAGCTATTATATAGTTCTACATTGGGATAGTAGATAATTTCTTGGGTAAGTATTTCTAAAGGCCAAAAATTTCGTCCGAAACATAGAAAAAAAAATTCGATGAAATACGCATTGGGGTACCCACTTTCCGACCCATTAATTTGGTTGTTCTTTATGGCTTGGGATTATAGACTCTTATAAATAGCTATTGGATAATACTACAACGGGAAGGTAAAACATTTCTGGGGTACGCTTTCTTAAAGGACCAATATTTCGTTCGAAACACGGAAATAAAGCCAAATTCGATAAAATACGCTCTAGGGTAACCCACTTTACAACCAATTGTCTGGTTAGTTCTTAATGGCTAGGGATTAGAGACTCTGCTTCAATGAATAGCTATTATATAGTTCTACATTGGGATTGTAGAGAATTTCTTAGGTAAGCATTCCTTAAGGCCGAAAATTTCGTCCGAAACATGGAAAAAAGCCAAATTTGATGAAATACGCATTGGGGTACGCACTTTCCGACCCATTAATTCTGTAGTTCTTGGTGACTAGGGATTATAGACTCTGCTTCAATAATTAGCTATTATATAGTACTACAACGGGAAGGTAACAAATTTCTGGGGTAAGCATTCTGAAAGGCAGAAAATGTCGTCCGAAACATGGAAATAAAGCCAAATTCTATGAAATACGCATTGGGGTACCCACTTTCCGACCCATTAATTCTGTAGTTCTTTATGGCTAGGGATTATAGACTCTGCTCTAATAAATAGCTATTGGATAGTACTACAACGGGAGGGTAAAGAATTTCTGGGGTACGCTTTCTTAAAGGGCCAAAATTTCGTTCGAAACACGGAAATAAAGCCAAATTCGATAAAATACGCTCTAAGGTCACCCACTTTCCAACCAATTGTCTGGTTAGTTCTTAATGGCTAGGGATTAGAGACTCTGCTTCAATGAATAGCTATTATATAGTTCTACATTGGGATAGTAGATAATTTCTTGGGTAAGTATTCCTAAAGGCCAAAAATTTCGTCCGAAACATGGAAAAAAGCCAAATTCGATGAAATACGCATTGGGGTACCCACTTTCCGACCCATTAATTTGGTTGTTCTTTATGGCTTGGGATTATAGACTCTAATAAATAGCTATTGGATAGTACTACAACGGGAAGGTAAAATATTTCTGGGGAATGCTTTCTTAAAGGACCAATATTTCGTTCGAAACACGGAAATAAAGCCAAATTCGATAAAATACGCTCTAGGGTCACCCACTTTCCTACCAATTGTCTGGTTAGTTCTTAATGGCTAGGGATTAGAGACTCTGCTTCAATGAATATCTATTATATAGTTCTACATTGGGATAGTAGATAATTTCTTGGGTAAGTATTCCTAAAGGCCAAAAATTTCGTCCGAAACATGGAAAAAAGCCAAATTCGATGAAATACGCATTGGGGTACCCACTTTCCGACCCATTAATTTGGTTGTTCTTTATGGCTTGGGATTATAGACTCTAATAAATAGCTATTGGATAGTACTACAACGGGAAGGTAAAATATTTCTGGGGAACGCTTTCTTAAAGGAGCAATATTTCGTTCGAAACACGGAAATAAAGCCAAATTCGATAAAATACGCTCTAGGGTCACCCACTTTCCTACCAATTGTCTGGTTAGTTCTTAATGGCTAGGGATTAGAGACTCTGCTTCAATGAATATCTATTATATAGTTCTACATTGGGATAGTAGATAATTTCTTGGGTAAGTATTCCTAAAGGCCAAAAATTTCGTCCGAAACATGGAAAAAAGCCAAATTCGATGAAATACGCATTGGGGTACCCACTTTCCGACCCATTAATTTGGTTGTTGTTGATGGCTTGGGATTATAGACTCTAATAAATAGCTATTGGATAGTACTACAACGGGAAGGTAAAATATTTCTGGGGAACGCTTTCTTAAAGGACCAATATTTCGTTCGAAACACGGAAATAAAGCCAAATTCGATAAAATACGCTCTAGGGTCACCCACTTTCCTACCAATTGTCTGGTTAGTTCTTAATGGCTAGGGATTAGAGACTCTGCTTCAATGAATATCTATTATATAGTTCTACATTGGGATAGTAGAGAATTTCTGTCTGAGGTAAGCATTCCTAAAGGCCGAAAATTTCGTCCGAAACATGGAAAAAAGCCAAATTTGATGAAATAGGCATTGGGGTACCCACTTTCCGACCCATTAATTCTATAGTTCTTTATGGCTATAGATTATCGACTCTGCCCTAATAAATAGCTATTGGATAGTAATACAACGGGAGTGTAAAGAATTTCTGGGGTACGCTTTCTTAAAGGGTCAAAATTTCGTTCGAAACACGGAAATAAAGCCAAATTCGATGAAATACGCTCTAGGGTAACACACTTTCCAACCAATTGTCTGGGTAGTTGTTTATGGCTAGGGATTATAAACTCTGCTCTAATAAATAGCTATTGGATATTACTACAACGGGAGGGTAAAGAATTTTTGGGGTAAGCATTCTTAAAGGTTGAAAATGTCGTCCGAAACATGAAAATAAAGCAAAATTCTATGAAATACGCATTGGGGTACCCACTTTCCGACCCATTAATTCTGTAGTTTATTATGGCTAGGGATTATAGACTCTGCTCTAATAAATAGCTATTAGATAGTACTACAACGGGAAGGTAAAGAATTTCTTGGGTATGCTTTCTTAAAGGGCCAAAATTTCGTTCGAAACACGGAAATAAAGCCAAATTCAATAACATACGCTCTAGGGTCACCCACTTTCCTACCAATTGTCTGGTTAGTTCTTAATGGCTAGGGATTAGAGACTCTGCTTCAATGAATAGCTATTATATAGTTCTACATTGGGATAGTAGAGAATTTCTGAGGTAAGCATTCCTAAAGGCCGAAAATGTCGTCCGAAACATTGAAAAAAGCCAAATTCGATGAAATAGGCATTGGGGTAACCACTTTCCGACGCATTAATTCTTTAGTTTTTTATGGCTATTGATTATCGACTCTGCTCTAATAAATAGCTATTGGATAGTACTACAACGTGAGGGTAAAGAATTTCTGGGGTACGCTTTCTTAAAGGGCCAAAATTTCGTTCGAAACACGGAAATAAA